GCATGACAGTTGACCACGCCACCTACCTCCTCCAAGGTACCACGATGCCAAGGTAAGACTAGCTTAAACCAAGATTGCAGAAAACCACATGACCGCCCACATAGCCCACCACATGATAGTGCATTTTGCACCAACAGTGGGAAAGGTCGCTCTAGATAATGCAAGTGGCATCACCAAGCCCACTAGCAACCAACTGACCTTAAACCTAAAGTCATTCCCTCAACCGGGCCAAATATACACTACCATTTGACATAGAGTTGGAAGACTCCAACACAGCAGTCACAGGTACGCTATCTATTCTTAGACATTATACGTGAGTATTGTTTGATTCTGGGTCCACCCATGACTTTATCTCTACTGACTTTGTAAAACACATCAGGGTGGAAATAGAACTGCTATGGTACATGTTGTTCGTGGATACCCCAACAGGGGAGAGAAAGGAAGCCTTCGAGAAGGTGAAGGACTGTTAAATTTTTGTGTCAAGTCACATGATGGATGTGACATTGATAGTGTTAGATATGAAAAATTTTGACATCATCTTAGTAATGGAATGGTTAGCTAGTAACCATGCTTCCATTGATTACTTTAACAAAGAAGTTGTATTCAGACCTCTTGGCTGCCCAAGCTTCAAGTTCAAGGGGTCCATAGTGGAAATAGTCCCTAAAATAGGTCACAAAATTAAAGGCAAGGAAGATTCTCTCATATGGTGTTCGAGGGATATTAGCTCATGTGGTGGAACATGGCGAACTGAGGTGACCATTGACTTGGAAGATCTCTCCAATGTATTGCTGGAAGTATTGCTGGAAGATCTCTCCAATGTACTTCCAAAGCGAGACGTGGAATTTGAAATTGTACTTGAGTTGAGAACAACCCCTATTTCCAAGATGACTCCTGCGGTAGAAGAATTAAAGTTGCAGATCCAAGATACTGGATAAAGACTTTATACAAGAGTGTGTACCCTTGGGCGCCCTAGTGATATTTGTGAAAAGAAGGACGAGTCTATGCATTTTTGCATAGACTATCAAGAGCTCAACAAAGTGACAATTAAGAACAAGTACCCTTTACCCTGGATTGACGATCTGTATGATCCGCTACAAGGAGCAATGATGTTCTCAAAGATTGACTTACGATCAGGCTACCATCAGTCGAGGACTAGGTAGAGTTATATCTCTAAAACATCTTTCTGCACAAGGTATGAACTTACAAGTTTAGAGTAATGTTGTTTAGCTTAACCAATGCTCTAGCCACGTTTATGGGCCTAATGAACAAAGTGTTCAGAGAATTTCTAGATATTTTTGTGATCGTGTTCATCGATGATATCATGGTGTACTCCAAAACCAGGGAGCAACACGAGCAACATCTTAGGAAGGTGTTGGTCACTCTAAGGACAAACAAGCTATATGCAAATTTCTCCAAGTGTAAGTTCTGGTTATAACAAGAAGGATTCCTTGGACATGTACTGTCACGAATGGGGATCACTGCAGACCCAACAAAGATTGAAACTGCGACAAATTGGCCTCGCCCGACTAATGTGACCGAGGTACAAAATTTTCTTGGTCTAGTCGGTTATTATCGGTGGTTTGTGCAAAATTTTTCCAAGATCACCACCCCCCTTACCGAGTTGACCAATAAGGAAAAGTCGTTCACCTTGAATGATCAGTACACAGTGTGTTCTATGTACCGATGTTATGATGATATATAGCAGACCATCTCATATGATAGATTCTGAACCCCTATGATTAGATAAAGGTTTGAACTATGAGGAAGAGCCGGTACAAATTGTGGCTAGAGAAGTGAAGACTTTACATAGTTGAGAGATCACGTTTGTCAAAGGGAATTGCCAGCCAGAAGAAACCACTTGTAAACGAGAAGAGGAGATGATGATCATCTTCATCTTCTTCTTCACTAAGCAGCCGCCACCCATCTCCTCTCTATCGTGTTATTGGCTAGACCGCTAGAGTCGCATGCCACGTTGGTCATTAGACAAACATTGCACGTTACCCACACCATGAATCATCACTGCCATTCTGTTTGTCGACCCACAGTGTCCGAGGAAGGACAGTCACGAGTCTTCTTGTTGCTGTTGCATCACCGGTCACCAGACGTGCCCCCGTTGCTACCGCACCTTCGATATTTATGTTCACTATGATATCGTGCGAGTCTTTCCTTTTCTGAGGTGTCTGGTGATGTGTAATGTGTTGTTCCCGACCAATTCAGGCCCAAAGGGTACGTATACGAAGCCTGCCTGGTGAGCGCATATGCGCGTACTTGGACCGTGTGGAGAAGTACCATGCATCCAACCTTGTCCGAAACTGGAAAGAGCCTAAGGTCATGCTATGGTTTCTAAACGATAGGTTTCATTCATGTCTTGTGTGTGATTGCATTACTAACCCCAATAGTGGAGTGACTTACTGGCTATTTCTTAAAATACTTGAGTCATGTGCTACCTTATATTTTTCAGGTAAAGGTAAAGCTCTCGTGCACATATGATGATGAACGCTGAAAATGCCAAGATTGCACTGAATTCCAATTAGTAGTTTATAGGAGTTTTTAATGCAGTTTGATATTTAATTTCGTGTTTTGAACTGAATATGTAAGTCCATGCCTTTATTTTAAAGGTATTTATTATGAATTTTTGCATATGTGATTAGCATGCATAGGATGACGTCACTAATTAGGTTAAGAAAATTAGGAGCGTTAATTACATTTGGTATCAGAGCCTTAGGTTTTAGATCCTGTAGATCACCTATGATGTAGAAGCTCAAAGATGACAATATCTTCTAGTGATGGGTTAAGGTTGTTACAAGTAATATCAGAGTCAAACACTAGACGATATGCAAGTGAGGAAGCTAGGCCCCAAGGGGTGGATTGTAAGATCCCATATCGGTTGGAAAGAGAACAAACCATTCCTTAGAAACATCTCCGTAATATACGTGTTTTAAAATCTGGGCCCCGAAGGGGGTGGGATTGTGAGATATCACATCCGTTGTAGAGGGAACAAATCATTCTTAGGGGGTGGATTGTGAGATATCACATCCGTCGTAGAGGGAACAAATCATTCTTAGGGAGTGGATTGTGAGATCTCACATCCGTTGTAGAGGGAACAAATCATTCTTATAAGGGTATGGAAACATCTCCCTAATATACACGTTTTAAAACGTGGGCCTCCAAGGGAGTGGATGATAAGATCCCACCTCAGCTAAAGAGGGAACAATGCTATCCTTCTAAGGGAAGCCCGAACAGAAGAGCCCAAAGAGTAGACCTGGGTTGAGTTGTTACAACAAACTATCTTAGAGTCATTTGAAATCTTGAGTTAGAAAGAAGTTTTCTTGGGTCGTGGTAAATCTAGATCTTATTTTCTCTTTGAATTCATTCTAATTGGTTTTTTTTTTTTTTTTTTTTTTTTGGATTTATGTATATATTAGATCTTATG